TTTTCAACTCAATGACCAAACAGCATATAGCATAGAGAGCTAGAATGCATGCCTGGCATGCATAGGGCCCTGGCACTATATGTCCTTCGAGCACTCCCACGTGTACCCCTGATGGCCCTAGAAAACAAAAAGATTTTTAGGATCAGGATGCTGGCTCAAAGGGCTGGAGTAGGAACTCCTGAGTTTGATCCCTTTTCCCCAAGAACTGCCAGATGTGCCCTATCCCCCAATACATTTTTCAACTTAAGTACCTGACAAAGGACTTCAATCTAAAATATTTTTAAACTCTTGTAGTTCAATGAATTTTTTTTTACAAAATAACTCATTATTGAAAATAAACACTCAACATTTCTCCAAAGAGACACAAATAGCTATTAAACAAATGTAATGGATAGCAGTCAATATCATTAATCTGTAGGGAAAAGCACTCTAGCACTGTAGCACTGTCCTCCTGTTGTTCATCAATTTGCTCGAGTGGGCCCAGTAAAATCTCCATCGTGAGACTTGTTACTGTGTTTGGCATATTGAATACATCACGGGGAGCTTGCCAGGCTTTGCTTGTGGGTGAGATACTCTCGGTAGCTTGCCAGGTTCTCCAAGAGGGGCGGAGGAATCGAACCCGGGTCAGCCGAGTCGGCTCCGTGCAAGGCAAATGCCCTACCCACTGTGCTATCACTCCAGCCCAGGGAAAAACAAATATAAATAAAAGTGAAATACTACATTTTATACACCTGGATGTTCACAATTTAAATAATGAGTTTTGAGAAGATTGTTGAGAAATGGAAGCCCTCATACATTTACTTGTGAGTTTATAAAATGGCACAGCCAGTTTGGAAATTAGTTTATCTGTCCCTCAAAAAGTGAAGCATAGGATCACTCAGTAGTAGAGTGTCTGCCTTGCATATGTAAGGGCTAGTTAGACCCCTTGCACCTCCCTGCTTCCCCACACTGCATCCCGAGCACTGCCATTGTGATCCCCAACACCATGACAATTGTGCAAACCCCAGAGCACCAACCCCATCCAAGGGTGTGGGAACATCACAGCCAAGTGTGTGAGCCCCAGCACTGCAGCAAGTGTGCTGCCCGGGCATCATAATCACTGTCTGTCACTGTCCTCCCGTTGTTCATCGATTTGCTCGAGCGGGCCCAGTAACATGGTGAGACTTGTTACTGTGTTTGGCATATCGAATATGTCACGGGTAGCTTGCCAGGCTTTGCTGTGCGGGCGAGATACTCTCCATAGCTTGCCAGACTCTCTGAGAGGGGCGGAGGAATTGAACTCGGGTTGACCTGGTCGGCTGCATGCAAGGCAAATGCCCTACCCGCTGGAAGATGAGACATATATGACAAAGTTATAGATGCCTTCTGACTAGCAATTCTACTTATAGATACCCAAAAGAATTGAAAAAAAATGATTATACAAAAACTTGTGCACAGATATTCACAGTAGCACTTTTACAATAACCAAAAGGTAAAATCAAACCAAATATGCATTGATGGGTAGATAAATGTTTGATATTCATTTAATGGATATATTTTGCTGTAAAAAGGAATAAAGTACCACAGTCTACAACATAGGTGAACCCAAGTCCTATCATCCTAAATGAAATAATTCAGTCACAAAAGACCACAATTCTGTTTACAGGCAACACATCTAATAGGCACATCTGAAGAGGTAGAAAAGCTGAGGTCAGAGAGGTAGTATAGCAGTTAAGGCACTTGCACCACATATGGTCAGTCTCCTGAGCACTACCAGGAATAAGTCCTGAGCAGATCTAGGTGCAGCTTAAAAACAAAAAAGGCAGAAAGCTTACAGTCGCAGTTGGCAACAGATGTCAAGATCATGAAGCAAAATGGGGATGATTAAAAATGTTTTAAAGTCAGAGGAGGATAAAGATTCCCCAACTTTGTAAATTCGCTAAAAGCCATAGTATTCTATACTTGAAATAGGTAAATAAATATTCAGTTCATCTCGGTAGTAGCTCAATAAAGCTGTTTTTAAAAAAACAAAATCAATCCAGCAGGGTGAAAAAATAAATTTCTGTTGTTTTCAGTAAAAATAACTGAATTATAAAAATGACAGATTGCCTAGGTCAGCCATGGAGGTTGGTGAAGGACTCACAACAAGGTCATATAAATGAGACTTGAGGGAATACGAGTAGTTTTTGAGGGAATTGGGGAAGATATTCCAGACGGAAGCAGCAGCAGGTAGAAAGGCAGAGAAGGTTGGAAAAGAAGCAAGCCACAGTATCCTTAGAATGAAGTCATTTGTGATACAATAGGAGTCAAGAGGCATTTTTTGAGTCTATTTGGGTAGGTGGGGAGGTGGGAGAGTGTCTCAAATCGTAAAGGGCTATTTAGACATGCTAACTTCCAAGAGGAAAAGAGAAAACCCTAGTAAAATTCCGATTCTGTTAAAAGCATCATTCCTTGGCACCAACTTTGCAAGTAGTTTGTTCATATCTCCCTGTGGCTGGTCACCCCGTGTTTGGCCTCTGCTTCATCCCTCATACCGTTCCTAGTGTGTCAGGGGGAAACAAGAATCCCTTCTCAAGCCCTGGTCGCGATGAGGGTATAAGGGAGACACCCAGAGGGGGACATGAGCTCAGGAGTCTTGGAACTACTCACTTGGTCAGGCCTTCCTTAGACCGGAAGTTGGCAAGTTTGGTTACAGAGCCCGTGTGCTCTACTGCCCAGTCTCTCACCTGGCTAGTGGACTTTATCCCCATGTTCTCAGTTTACAGGTTCACTAGTTTCTTAGCCCATGACAGAAGGAAAGGAGCAGGGAGGAACTGTTAGTTTTCATGCTCCCGAGAGCCTGGTTTAGTGCTGGGCGTTCTCCTAAACCTCAGAGCAATGAGGTTGGCATTATGAGTCCCTATTTTACAGGGGTTAGAATATACTGCTTAGGACCAGCCACGCCCAAAGTGACTGCCCGAGGTTGAAGGGTCCACGCGAGGAAAGGGCAGGCGATGGTTTGGTGCTGCCACTGTGAGAGAGACATGATGGTTCCTGTCACAACCCTGGGTCGAAAAAGTGGCTCAGTTCATTTATAAGGTTCATGACGGTAAAAGAGGAGGAAACGTAGTTAATAAACTTTTTGGTGCCTAAAAAAAAAAAAAAAAGCATCAGTCTTAGGCAAAAGTTGGAGAAAAGTGAAACTAGTAATCCTAGACCAGAAAGAAGACTAATAGCTAACAATTGTGTAATGAAGGAATTTCATTTTCTTTCCTTGGATTATCTCAATTATTTAAAGTGTTACAATGATCATTTGTAAATAAATGATACCTGATTTACTACCTTACTGTCTCAGGTCTTCCCATGAAAATTAAATGCCATTTCTCCTTTGTCTATTCCCCTTACCAAATTAGCATATTTCATTTTTTAAGTCTTATTTAAAGAATCTGTTTTCCCACTAGAATGAAAAGTCACAATAATTGGTTCATTTCTATATTCCTAGTGCCTAGCTATGTAGTAAATAATTGGGGTGCAAGTGTTTTCAAAACAAATGGACACTGAGTCAGATATTTTGTGATTCATTATCATACAAAGTAGCAAGTGGTAGAATGCAAGTGTTCCTATACCACCGAGTTCCTAGAGTTGTTACATTGTAGGCAAAAGGTAAGTACCTTCTTAAAAGAAGGGAAAGGGGAAGAAGGAAAGGAAAGAGGCTGGAACTAAGAACTCTTCAGAGTTTGTAATACTTTGGATTTTGAATGCACAAGAATAATTCAAAGAAATCAGTGCAGAATGACTTTGGTTTCTAGATTTGGCAAATGGGTAAACAGTGGTACCATCTCCGAACTACATATAGGTTTGGCAGAAAAAGGAAAAGGATCAGGATAATCCACACTCTCCCTATATTACTACGAAGTTCCTTTCATAATAAACTGAGGCTCCGAAGGAAAGCTCAGTGGACTAAGTAAAACATGCTTCTCATGCCTGAGGTCTGAGTTCCATTACCCTCACCCTACTCCAAGAACTTCAGGGGTGACCAAGACCAAAACAATAAGTATAAAGTGAAGAAACCCAAACTGGCCCTTTGGGTATAATGGGAATAGGAATAGGAGTATATGGGAGTAATAGAAGTTAGCCTTTTTGGGGGAAAAAGTGTTTAACCCTAAAAAACAGTTAAGTGCGGTTGGAGCGATAGCACAGCGGGTAGGGCATTTGACTTGCACGCGGCCGACCCAGGTTCTATTCCCAGCATCCCATAGGGTCCCCTGAGCACTGCCAGGAGTAATTCCTAAGTGAAGTGCCAGGAGTAACCCCTGTGCATCGCGGGGTGTGACCCAAAAAGAAAAATAATAATAATAAAATAAAAATGAAAATCAGTGAAGTTCCCAGAAATGTGTAAGTCCAAGGACGGGAAACTGTACAGCCGGAAAGCCGTTTGCCTTGCACGCCGCGACCCAGATTCTATCCCTGGCATCCCATATGGTCTGCCCAGCACTGCCAGGAGTGATTTGATCCCTGAGTAGAGCCGAGTATGCCCAACACCGCCCCCCCCCAAAAAATAAAATTAAATAACAAAACCATTTTTAAAGCGGATACTACAAACTAAACAATAGTCATACCCTTAAGTAATCACGCTATGGTCATTTTAATCCTGCTGGTGGTGGCAATGGCTTGAAAAAAGGGCCAACCAGCAGCCACCGTGCAGAGTAGCCCTGCTTCAGAGTCGGGCCTATCTTCCCCGTGTTCCCTAACTCTCCGGGACCTGAAGGCTGGCTCGGAGCCCGGGCCCGCCCGCTCCAAAACGTGGCCAGTTGCGGGCTGCGCGCAAGGATGCTCGCGCCTCGCGCGGCTCCCAACCTCCGCCCGGGCGCCCGACCAGGCAAGGGGGCGTGGCGCTGGCCTTTCCCCTCACCGGCGCCGGGCTCGAGGCGTGCGGCCTCCGGCCCCGAGGGGGCGCTGTGGGCTCGCGGCCAGCGTCGGGTGCCCCGCCCCCGCCCCTAGTGCGCATGCCCGCCACCTCTTTGGACTCAGTTTTCTTTTCTTTTTTTTTTTTTTTTCCGGGCGGCCCCGGCGGCTGCGTACTGGCTGTGGGATGGGAAGTGAAGCCCCAGCGAGCGGCCGCGGCGGGGCTGTGAGGAGCGGCCGGGGGGAGGCGGCGGCGGCGGCGGCGGCGCGTCGGTGAAGCAGCTGGGCAGCGCCGAGAGCCGGGGCGGAGCACCTGCAGGGCACGGGCGGCGGCGGCTGCAGCAGCACCATGGCGATTCGCAAGAAGAGTACCAAGAGCCCCCCGGTGCTGAGCCACGAATTCATCCTGCAGAATCACGCGGACATCGTCTCCTGCGTGACGATGGTCTTCCTGCTGGGGCTCATGTTCGAGGTGAGCGCCCCGCCCCGGCCCAGCCGCCCACCCGGGGGCGCCTTCCCCGCCGGCAGCCCCCGGGCCTCGGGCCCGGCTGCTTTTCTCAACAACCTCCCCCTCCCACCCCCCGCACCCCGGCTCGGCGGGCGGGCTCGGGTGGGGGGCGAGGTGCGGGGGCCCACCGAGTGAGGATGCGGACCCCTCCTCCCTAGCATCTCCCTCCCGCGGGGCCCGGCTGCCGCCCCCCCAGCCCTGCCCGGCTCACACGCCTCCCCTCCCGCCGCCGCCGCCGCCGCCGCCCCCTCCTGCCGCGCAGTTCCTGGTTCCCGCGAACGGTTACGTGGCAGCCGGCGAGGGGCCGGCGGGCGGCGAGGGCGGCCCCAGCGCCGCCGAGACTGGCCGGAGCGGGTGGGCGGCCGGCGGGGGTTGCGGGGGGGGGGCGGTTGGCCGGCGCCGGGGCCCCGCGGAGACCCGACCTCGGGGGGGGGGGGGATGGGGAGGGGGCTCGGTGTGTATGTTTGGGGTGGGGGGGCGCCCGCTCGGGAGAGGCGATTTGGGGGTGACCGAGAGACCCACGGGCCCCGCGAGGTGCTGCTGCCCAATTGGAAGGGCGGTGGCCGCCGGGCAGCCCCGGGATCGCCCCGGCGTGGGCACGCCGGGTTGTTGGAGCTCGAGTTTCCCAAACTGGTTTTATTACTCGTCCGTTTCCAGAACTTTTTTTTTCCTTTTTCTTTCTTTTTTTGTTTTTTTTTGCCCCGAGGCTGGGTCCCACCCCCACCCCCCCCCCACCACCACCACCCCCACCCACCCCCCCTACCCCGCTCCGCGAGAATGGAATTGGGTGATTGCTCCCAAAAATCTCGGGCTTCTCTCAACCGCGGCGCCGAGGCATCAAGTCATTTTCTTCCTTTGTGTCTTGAAGTATGAGAGGCTGGGAATGTCAGCAGTGTGTAAATTTCTCTTCCCACATATCTAGTATTTTGATGACTTGTTTCACAGCTGCTGAATGAGGGTAATAAACTTTGCAAGGTGAGCGGGGGAACAGCCTACGGGTTTCCCGCGCGCTCCCCGATGCAGACGCCCCGTCTCTTTCCCGGTTTTCGGCTTGCCCCCCTAACCCTTACTCCCCGTGAAAAAGGCGAATTCTTTTCTTTCTTGTCTTCTCCGCTCCCTGGAATGGAACCTCAGGGCAAAATTTGATGGGGGTCTTTTGGGTTTTGTTTTTTTTTTTTTTTTGGTGGGGAGGTGGTGTTTGTAACTAGTCCAGTTTCAGCACCTAACATAATGCCTTTTAAGTTATTTGCAAAAAAGGATTGATTTGCTTGGTGGGGGTTGGGGGGACAGTAGGCCACACCCTGCTTGCTCCTGGCTCTGCACTCAGTTCCGATGGGGCTGGGGAACCATATGGGATGCCCGAGATCCAACCTGGTGCACTCTGCCTTCTGTACTGTCTCTCCAGCCCCCAGTTATTTTAAGGAAGCCCATTTGGATTCTTTTCGTGTTAGTACATTGTTTCATTTTTTTTTGCTTCTTTTGAAATGGGCTCTTTCTGTTTCTATATGATGAGATTTTATTCCTGTCATGTCTATCCATCCACTTGGCCCATGGGGCAAAGAAAAGGGGAGAAAACCAACATATGTGGCATTCTTTGTTTTAGGGTTGGGCTCCTGCAGCTTACCTAGGAGGGTGATCCGTCTATAATAGGGTGTAACAACACCTGCTTTTTCCTCACAGCCATTGTTGCATAAAGTGGTGTGAAGACTTCTGGTGGTTTAAGAAATTCTATGTGAATTAGAACATTATTAAGATCCTCAAAGATGGCTCAAAAGGCTAGAACGTGTGATTTGCTTGAGGACAGGCCCCTGACACAACTCTGGACCACATATTCCTACACACACATGCACCACACCCACCCACCCACGCGCTGGCTCTCACAGTCCCCCTCCCCCATCAAGTAACATTAACATGCTTTCTAAATTTGGGGGTTTTTTTTCTAGAGGGAGGGGTGCTCAGGGACCACTTCTGGCCGTGCGTGGGAACCATATGTGCTCCAGGTATTGAACCCCACTTATCCACATACAAGGCAAGCACCTTACTGGTGTACGACTTCTCCAGCCCCACTTTCTGAATTTTGTATTTGTGTATTCTGCTATAGTATTAGAAGTAATGCATTTGTATTTGCAATACATTAAACAGGTGTGAAAATTTTGCCAAAAACCCATATCCATATGGTAATTTGTCTTTCCTTAAGACTGTTGTTAAGAGGTCAGAGAGATGCTCAAGGCCTGGAGTGCATGCTCTTCACGCGAGAAGCTGGGGTGATCAAAACTAAACAGAGTATGGAGTAGCACCTCCAGTTGTAATCCCAGAAACAGCCAAACAAAGTGAATTAAAACAAAACACACAAATATATTAAGGAGGCGTAATACTGCCTGGAAGCAATATATATATAATTTATGGAGTAATATTGCGTGGATTGTGCATTTGTAATGCTTCAAATTTTAAAAAAAGTACATAAGTCAGAAATTTTGATGCTTAATATTCTAATTTTGCTTTATGTAAAATAGTTCACGTTTAATCATTTACTAGAGATATTCACTACCTGTACCTTGCCTCATGCACTATTTCAACAATAATTTTTTTTTATTTACCTGTAAGTAGTTAAGTTGGTGGCCCCAAGAGGTCAGTGTAGAAAGAAGTGACAAGTTTGTAGCAGATGTAAATTGTTCTTACCATATCTCAGTCTTAAGATCTGAAAATATATCTACATGTTGGGAAGAAACTGACTGGGTTAGTTCTGCTATTTGGTTTCTAAAATAATTGTTGCTGAATTTCATAGGTTAGCCTAATTATAGAACTAAAATATTATGTTAGAATAACAGAAATTGAAGGTTTTGGAGAACTGTTACATGTTTTGTGTAAGTATACTGAGGAGGTGTTAGGATTTATGGTGAAACTGACAAAGCAGTTCCAGACTGATTACTAGCCAAAATGATGAATCACTATAGATGGGCCTTTTTTCTTTTCCTTTTCTTTTCCTTTTGTTTTTATTTTTTGTTTGTTTTTTTTGGGGGGGGGCTACACCCAGCAATGCTCAGGGGGTTACTTCTGTCTCTGCACTAAGGAATCACTCCTGGAGGTGCTCTGGAGACATATGTGATGTTGGGGCCCAAATCCAGGTGGTCTGCATGCAGGGCAAGCACTCTACCCACTGTACTATCACCCCAGCCCAGAATCAGTATAGATATACTGTGGAAACAGATGGGGCAGGTAAAGGAATCTGTGTACAAGTTAAAGCCCTTCAACTTGCCACCTGAATGACCTAGGGCTTATTATCATTTCATTTCCTAGAATTGATTTCCGTTTTAGTGAAGTGGGGCTCATTGGGTTACTTCTGAGAATTAACAAAGGGCAGTTACGCCTGATTTGATACTTGGCTTTCCGCAGGAATGTCATACATGATAGCTATTACTCATTTTCCTTAGATATTTATCAAAATCGGAAAATAGAAGAAAGCAGTTTCAGAAGAGAGAAGGGCTCAACAGTTAGCACTCAGAGTTCATATATACTGAAAACATTGTTAAAGAAGTAGTCTGCTGAGTACTGTCTACGGACCTGAGCTTACCTTGACGAGATCGTGGAGATGGGGTGGGGGAAGGTGAGGGCCCCGAAAGTGGGGAACACGCTGGTGGAGGGGAAGGTGTTTAACGATGAGTGTGTGAAAACTCTGCTGGTAGCAGTATTGTAAATCAAGGTAGCCAAAAAAAAAAAAATGAAGCCTGTTCTGCGGGAACATAATTTCCATGGAACTTCATATTAAAAGTTATTTATGAATTTGAACTTTCACATAATCCAAATCATATCTCTCGTTAATGGTTTCATGCTTGAATAATTTGAGCAGTCTAAAATTGTACAGCGCTTTGGAAACTTTCTAAAGGAGAGGAGTAGAAGAGGATTGAAGAATTAGGGGCTTCCAGCTTTTGAATTGTTTCTACCGTGCAGATTTGGGGAACATTTACAATTGTCATAGAACAGTTCTGGAGGTTTGTTTTATTTTCAATCATGACTCGTCTTTAAAATTTGTTTTTTATTTAGGTACTGTGATTTACCGAGCTGTCCACAGTAGAGTTTCAGACATAGTGTGCCATCTCCAACTCACCACCAGCGTCAGCATTACACACCACTGTCCTCGGGTTATTTCCTTCCCCTCCATCTTCTTTTCAACAGGCGCATTTGAACTGTTAAAATTTGTGTCCCATGCTTACAGTTGTGTTTGCTCTTGTTTAGATGGATATACCTCTCCTCCCCCACCGATAGATGTGTCCAAGGCCTTTTGCAGACCACTCTTCTTACTCATACTGCCATTCCCCATTCTAAGTCAGAGGGTTTGTTCACCTTTGCAACCTGACATTCATATGAGTGAAAACATCCAGTATTTGCCCTTCCTCTAACTTCACTTAGCATGAGATCCTCCAGTTCCATCCAAGTTCAGTGGATTATATCATTTCTTGTGACTACATAGTATTCCGTTGGGTGTTCATCTCACCTTCATTATCTACTCATTTATCATTGGACATTTGAGTTGATTTTATATCCTAGCGATTGTTCTAAATGCTACAATTAATGAAGGTTTGCATATGTCTTTTTCAAGTGAATGTTCGTAAGGGTAGATACCATGAAGTTGAACCGCTCAGTTGAATGGAAACTCTGTTCTTTTTTGAGAAATCTCCATACTGTGTCATAGGAGCTAAACCAGACTGCTTTCACACCAACCATGAATAAGAATTCCTTTTTGACCATATCCTCACAAACACAGAATGCTTCTAGTTTTTTTGATATTTGCCATTTTCACTAGCATAAGATCGTATTTCATTGTTGTATTGGTTTGGATTTCCTTGATAAGTATGATGAGCACTTTTTCATATGTGTACTGGCCATCTCTGTGTCTTCAGTGGAGTGTCTTTTCATTTCCTCTCCTCGGTTTTGATGGGGTTTTTGGATTTTTTTTTTAATAGTTGACTTTTGTGAGTGCTTTTTGTATCTTGAATATTAGCATCTCAGCTGATACATCGTGTGCAGATATTGTCTCCATTTCAGTAGGATGCCTTTTAATTTCAGCCTGAGTTGCTTTTGCCATACAAAAACTTTTGAATTTGATGTAGTCCCACTTGTTTATTGTGGGGTGCCAGGGGTCAGACACATGTAAGGCAAGTTCCATGCCCACTGTCCTGCCTGCCGACCTCTGCCCCCTCTCTTTTGCATGTGGTTAGCCAATTTCCCGGCACTATTTGTGAGAACCCTATCTTGACTCCATTTCATGTCCTTTGTCATTTCATGAGCTGTCCATAGACCTGAGAGTTTCATTGCTGCTTGTTTCTTAATTCTAATCCATTGTAGTGATGAGTATGCATAATACTAATACTCCCTGCCCCTCCCCCACACACACACACACACACACACACACACACTCACACTCTCTCTCTCACTCTCTCTCTCTCTCTCTCATAACTTTTTTTTTAAGAGCTTTATATAAGCTAGTGGGGTAGGCTTCTGTCAGTGTGGTAGTCATACCTTCCTCTAACAAATGCAAAGGACTTAAAAATCTCTGTAAAATAAGAAAAACTGTGAAGACCCAATTGATGACCATTTAGTTAAAGAGAAGTATTGTGATATTCATGACCAGTACAGAATTAGATCATTAGTTTGTGTTTTAAGATATTTCTGAGGATTTTTTTTTTGTAAAAGCAGAGTAGTGTCATAAATGTCCAAAACTGTCATAAACTTAGTTGTTTTTACTTTTGAGTACATTGTCTATTTCTACAGCATATCTCATTCCAAATAAATTCTATTACTAATTATAATATTAACTAAAGCAATGCTAAATGGGGCTGGAGCGATAGCACAGCGGGTAGGGCGTTTGCCTTGCGTGCGGCCAACACAGCTGACCCGAGATCTATTCCTCTGCCCTCTCGGAGAGCTGGGCAAGATACCGAGAGTATCTCGCCCTCACGGGAAAGCCTGGCAAGCTACCTGTGACGTATTCGATATGCCAAACACAGTAACAAGTCTCACAATGTTACTGGGCCTACTCGAGCAAATCGATGAACAACGGGAGGACAATGCTACAGTGCAGTGCTACCGATCTATCTTAAGACTGGGTTGTAATTTTACCTAGAAGTTTGCATAAAATAATAAGTTTTGTTGCTTTTGGAACTTGATACTAAATTTATCTCTGAGTATTATCCCTACTGTTGGTAAAGGACACATAAACTACTTCTTAAATGGAGTAGTGGCAACCGCTTCTTTCAAACTGGAACTGGGAGATGTGACGCGTGTATGTTCACAATTCACATATGTGAATTGTGAACTAGGTATTAAAAGGGAAACTTAGTAATTGACCAGCTTTATAATAATGACACAAAAGCAATGTTACCCTGGAAATTTTTGTCTTCATTCTGCTCTAATGATGAATAAATTGTAATCAGGAAGTACTAAGCTTTTCTTTTCAAGTGATCTTTCTACAACTAGCCCAGGTAAAGGATCCATTTGAATGGCCATATGCTGAATTGAGCATGCCTTTACAGATCCTGAAATCCTATATAGCAGAGCTCAGCCACAGGCTACTGTGGCTCCCTTCCCTTATTCTGCTGCCCATCTACCAGCTGTCCACTTAGAAGCCTTTATGGTACTTTGAGTCCCTTTGCTTTCATCCAGTATGTTAGCCGCCTCGTTATTTTGCCTTTAGTCTTGCAGACTTGACTTACCAATGCTTTCCCTGCTTCAGTTCCTCTTGTATCTTGGTTTTCCAGCTCCCTTTTTGCATTGTTAACTATCCAATCATAACTCTGGCCTGCCTTCTGCCTCTTGTGTGTGTGCCTCCTCTTCATGGATTTTTCTGGCTGGAGTTGCTAGAGGAAAATCATACAGTAGATGATATTTCAAATCAAAGGTCTCTAAACTCAGATATTACTAATAATACCTAGTGATCTCTTTGCTTTTCCCTGACCAAAAGCTATGTAAATAGTTCAAGTCCCCAACTATGCTTAAGATATGATATTGCTTCGGTTTTCCCTAGGGAAAACAAGTGTCAGATGTGAATTTCTTCTCTTTCTGCATTTTGAGCTCATGTAATCTTACCTATATCCCTATGCTCTTCCCTACCTTAAGAGAAAAACTGTTCAAGATTGACTTTTTTAAAGGTGTTTTTCTTTCATTACATTTTAATGCTCATAAGTTTTTTCTTGAGGTTCTGACTGACATTTCATGCTACATCTGTATATGAACTGGGAAAATTTTACAACTGTGACAGCAGACATGCATTTTGAGTTAACTGTTGATTTGAGTCAAAATTGTGAGCCGAATAACTTGATTTCTTATGCCTTGGAGCCCTCTGTGTGTATTTTATTTCCTACCAGATCTCCCCATCAATTATCACTTGACGTTTAACTCCTGCCTTTTACTGGCACCTTTCCCATTGCCACCACCTAAGCACACTCTCTCCATCATTACACAACTGAGTCTTGCATCTAGTAAACAAAATTATATCCACTGTGATGTACTTCAATCCACCTGACATGGGTTTTGCTCTCTCCATCTTCAGTGGAATCATTTAGGCCATGACCACTGAAGATTTCCTCAGTATGTTGGAGTCCTCCTAGCACACCCCTTTGAAACTATATTCTTCTCTTTTTGCCTCATTGATCATTCTTATTTTCTATTCACTTCTTGCCGTCTCTACAGTTCTAAAGCTTTCCTACTTTTTGAACAAATGTTGTCGTCTCTGTAGATGAATTCTGTATCCACACAGCTTCAGCTACTATCTGCAAAAAAAAAAAAAAAACCAAGTGTTTATGCTGAATCTCTCTGCAGTTTTGTACTTACAGTTTAATTGCTTGTTGGCTTTCCACCTATTTCACGAAAACTACATTTATCTCAAATTCACTTTTCCTTTTAGCCAAAAACCTACTGTTCCTACAAATGTATCTTCATAATACCACTTTTTAACCTAATTGTTTAAAAGTTTCAACACATAGCATTTGACTCTTTCCTCTTGCTTCCCAAGCTTTTTTTTTTTTCCTGTCTCAAAAATACTATGTATTGCATTTTACTGCCTTAGTTCAGGCATTACTCTGCCTTTTATTGGGAGTGAGTGGGCGGGGGGGTGATGGTGTTGGTGAAGGAGTTGTTGAGGGTAAGATGCACACACTGTGCTCAGGCATCATTCTTGGTGGTACTCACCGACCATATGCAGTTCCAGACTAGGGTCAGTCACATGGAGGCAAGCACCTTAACTCCTGTACTATTTTTCTGGTCCTAGTCCTTATAATCTTTCATATAGTCTCTTACAGAAGTCTTTCACTCAACTTGTGTACTATTCCGGTCTATATTTTATGTAGATTTTAATTTGCTAATATTGATTGGTCCCCTAATAGTTATCAGACTCTAAGCTAGTCTTTAAACATATATTGATGAGTAGAAACAAGTATGGTTCCAGCTCTCCTGGAGCTAACATTTTAATGAGTTGAACAAAAATCAGTATACTGACTGATGTATGGTTTTAAAGACAGGAATAATATAACAATGTAACAAAGGATAGTGCATACTTCTAAGAAACAGGGAAAGTATCTTTTAAAAAGCTGTGATTGAATTGAGATCTAAAGGGAGAAGCATGGTTACAACATCAAGAACCATGTATGTGTAGAATCTGGGGTAGGAACTGCAAAATGCAGGGAAGCCAGGAGGAAATGGCCTAGGAACAAAGGTTCCCAAACATACATGACCTACTGCCTCCTTTTCAGGGGGAAAAAACCCTTAGCAAACCCTGGATCTACCTTCTTTTAAGTTGTGCCCACTAGTTGCACTGGAGGATCCATACCCCAACTCCCTGGGTGGATCCAGCTCCCTGGCAGCATCAGAAAGACAATATTACCCTCTTCAGGCAACACCGGGGTTAGACCAAGGATTATTTTTGTGCCCCTTAAGACTTCGTTCCATGGTTCAGCCCTTTTGGAAAACAGTATGGACGATTCTCAAAAAATTAGAAATTGAGCTCCCATTTGACCCAGCAATATCACTCTTGGGAATATATCCCAGAGAGGCAAAAAAGCATAGTCAAAGTGACATCTGCACTTGTTTGTTCATTGCAGCACTCTTTACAATAGCCAGAATGTGGAAAAAACCTGAGTTTTTCCAGATCTGTTCTGAGTGCCTGAGAACAGATGACTGGTTAAAGAAACTTTGGTACATCTACACAATGGAGTACTATGTAGCTGTTAGAAAAGATGAAGTCATGAAATTTACATACAAGTGGTACTACATGGAAAGTATCATGTTAAGCGAAATGAGTCAGAAAGAGCGGGATAGACACAGAAAGATTGCATTCATCTGGGGAACATAAAGCAACAAAAAGGGAGATTAACACCCAAGAGTGGCCGAGACTAGTACCAGGAATTTTGCTCCATGGCTTGGAGGCCAGCCACACATGCTAGGGTAAAAGGGAGCTCATAAATAATAAAGGGTGTTGAGAGGATCCTCCCAGGATGGGAGAAGCATGCTGAAAGTAGACCAAAGACCAAACTAACGCTCAATGCCTCTTTCGCAAACACAACACCCAAAAGGAGAGAGAGAACAAAAGGGAATGCCCTGCCACAGAGGCAAGGTGGGATGGGGGGGAGGGGGTGGGACGGATACTGGGACCTGTGGTGGTGGAGAATGGGCACTGGTGGAGGGATGGGCACTTGATCATTGTATAACTGAAACCCAAGCACAAAAATTTGTAAGCCTACAACTGTACCTCATGGCATTTCACTAATAAAAATTAAAAAAAAAAAAAAAGACTTCGTTCTTTAGCCTAGAAAGAATGAGAATGCTTCCAGTTAGGGTGGGAGGAAGTAGGCTTGGGGAGGGGAGTTGATCAGGTGTTTCGGATCCCAGGGGCATTTGAGATACCACTTAAAGTGGGCCATAGCCAGGAATGGATGCTCTTCAGTTGTCTACAATACAATCTAAACTACTTAACTCCACAACCAAAAAACCAAGTCTCATGTTTATTATTACTGTTTGACCTGCGTGTGTTCTGTTTCTTAAACCTTAATCCCCTCTCATTCCACATTGTGAACCCATATATTCTCTGAGGACTCAGTGCCACATGGATCTTTTGAGAAACCTTTCCACATTTATCATTCCCTGGATCAGGATAAAAAAGAAAGTTTGCTGTTTATCATGAGTTCCTATAATCGTTTGTTAGCCTGTCCTGCATTGACTGAACTCCTACTTTATGGGGTCTGCATCACTCATCTTTGTTATTTCATAGTGCCTGGTACTTACTGGTATTGAGTAAACATTCAGGTTTTCTTGCTCCAGTAAGCCACTAGTTAAATCATTTCAACAGCTATTGACCCATTAACTGCCAGGTGTGAGAGATAAACACACTCTCTCTGTGTTGCTTCCTCCCTTCCCCTTTTGGTCCATTTTATCAGAGTAACCACTTCCTTTTTTTTTAAGTTTACAGTATTTTTTTTTCCTTAGTGAGGAGCTTGTGTCTTTATGGTCTGAAGAAGAGAATCAGTTGTCTAATTACTGTTTAGTGAAATAGCAGTCTTTTGAAATCTTGAACTTAGAGTGAAATTATTGCACAATCTCATCTAAAGAGCAGCGTGCTTTGGTGAATTTTGTTTAACTCCAAAGCTCAAATCCTTGGTGATCAGGAACTTAAATTGTGCATATCAGGGTGCCACAGAAATTAGGGTACCCTAGGTTTTTTATATTTAAAGATTGAACATTTAATGGTTATTCCCATATCTAGAAATTGAGGAAAAACACTTTGATGTAATCTTATCTCTTTTTCTTTCTAGATAACAGCAAAGGCTGCTATCATTTTTGTTACTCTTCAATACAATGTTACCCACCCTGCTACAGGTAGGATTTTCTCTTTCAGAATTTTCTGTTGAACAAAATGGTAATTTTCATGAGCATCAGTTTCTTAATTTTCATGTCTTCCTTCATGATTAGGTTGAATCTTACTTTGATGATTTTATACAAGGTAATATTTGATGTTTTGGGTTGACTTCAACCTGTGTATATAGAAAAATTGGCCTTCCTATACTTAATAGTTAATGAATATTTTTGTAAATAATTTTTGAAAAATTATTAAAGAACTTCATTTGCCTTCCCGCTGATTTTTTTCCTTATGAAAATTCTAAAAATAGGCCTTTTACATTTAGTTAAAATATCATTTATTTATTTAAAATTCAATCTTGGTTTCTAAAGCATGTTTGGGATCTGTTTTTCTATCTTTGAATTAATGTTGAAACATAAAGACCTGTGACAGCAGTCCTTTTAAGCCTATTTTATTTTTATTTTTTGTTGTGCTGTAACTCTTAATAGTTACATTTATTAGATAGAATGTCAATAAGCTCTCAGAGTTATTTGGCACTAATATCCAACAATTTTATGGCTTTCAGAAAGCTTTTGGGTTTTTATTACTAAATTTTGTGACATGAAAATCAAGTTGTTATTGAAAGTTAACTTGAGTGCAATAACATAGCATGGGTAAATAATGGATATTTGGTTAAAAAGTGTTAATATAGAGACTCTATTATAAAACCTATTACACCAAATTAGGATTTTCTTCACTTATAACATTTTATGAATATTTTGTTTAGTGACTTAAATTATGCAAAACAACAAAAGTTATGAATTTTGCATATGCTAGAGGAGAATAAAGCAGTTGTACCCATGTGGTCCCATAAACTTTAACAGTAATTTACAGATATTTAAAATTCTTTCAGAAAAATTACACCAATTTTCATGAATTAAAAAGTTTTAAGTAGCTTATGATCAAAATGCAAATATAGGTAAAGTCAGTGTTTCATCACAATTGCAGTATAGTGGCTAGTATGAGTGTAGAGGTAGGAAATTTCCAAAGCTGAGAGATGGGCAAATTGGCTAAATATATGTATGCATATATATTTAATTATTATTTTTTACTAGGTGATAATCACCTAATATCAGTCAGGTTTATGAAGGACCAGTTTGGCCTCACCTATTTTTTTGGTCTTGAAGATAGTAACTAAAATCTGTCAGTTCTGTAAATAATTTCTGAAGCTTTACATTTCAAGATAATATTAGTTTAGAAGATCTTCTAAACACTCAGGATGTCCAAAGGCAAATTACCTGTTGTATTTCTGCTGAATTTGTGTGTGTCTTCTTTTGTTTGTTCACTTAACTATGTTATATACTCAGTGCTTATTTTTTAACCCAATGCACGTTTTTTGTGTGTGTTTGTCCTGTCATTTTTGGCCTTTAGAAGAACAAGCTACTGAGTCAGCATCCCTTTATTACTATGGTATCAAAGATTTGGCAACAGTTTTCTTCTACATGCTAGTGGCGATAATTATTCATGCCATAATTCAAGAGTATGTGTTGGATGTAAGTACATAGTTGGGTCTGGTGTTTTTGGGCTTTATTTGTTTATGTTGTTTGGGGGGTTTTGTTTGTTTTTGAGCCATCCCCAGGGTTTCTCAGGGCTTACTCCTGCCTCTATGCTCAGGGATCACTGCTGGCAGGCTAAGGGAACAACATGGGGTGTCAGGAATCAAACTCAGGACTGGTGTATGCCCTATGCAGTGTACCATCACTCTGACCCCACTATATAATTTTTAAAATGCTTTGTAAGAAACTGGTGCGTCTACACACTGGAATACTATGGAGCTGTTAGGAAAGATGAAGTCATGAAATTTGCTTATAAGTGGATGGTCATGGAGAGTATCATGCTAAAGTGAAAGGAGTCAGAAAGAGAGAGACGGACATAGAATGATTACACTCATTTGCGGAATATAAAATAATATGAGACTGACACCTAAGGACAGTAGAGACAAGGGCCAGGAATATTACGCCATAGTTGGAAGCCTGCCTCATGAGCTGGGGGAGAAGGCAGCTGGAATAGAGAAGGGATCACTGAGTTAATGTTCATTGGAGGGATCATTCGGGATGGGAGATGTGTGCTGAAAGTAGATAAAGGACCAAACGTGATAGCCTCTCAGTATCTGTATTGCAAACTATAATGCCCCAAAGTAGAGAGGGAGTATGGGGGAAATTGTCTGCCATAGAAGCAGGGGGAGGGTTGGGATGGGAAGGTGGGTGGGTGTACTGGGAACATCGGTGGTGGAAATGTGCACTGGTAGACGGATGGGTGTCCGATCATTGTATAGCTGAAACTCAAACATGAAAGCTATGTAACTGTATCTCACGGTGATTCGATGAAAAAAATAATAATTTAAAAAAGGCTTTGGAAAATACTAGGTCTCCATTCTATGACAGTGGTATGTTAAATATATTTTATAAATATATTCTAATTCACTAATGATTGCCTTTATTTTTAGAAAATTAACAGGCGAATGCACTTCTCCAAAACAAAACACAGCAAGTTTAATGAATCTGGCCAGCTTAGTGCGTTCTACCTTTTTTCTTGTATTTGGGGGACATTTATTCTCATATCTGTAAGTATGTACTATATTTAAATTACCTCAAAATTAGAAATGCTGTTGTGTTTTGAATGCTTGTAAACAAATCCTGAACCTTAGAAAGATCCTTTTTTCTATTTTCACCTAAAATTAGAAGTCCTACTGAATCATTATGAAGTTTCATAAGTAAGTCTTTTTATTAGTTTTTAATACAGCAAAGATTCTAAGCTATGATTAATGTTTCAGAAAGCCTTACTTATTTTCAGTCAATGATTTTTTATCTTGTTTCCATTTACCAACATATTAGCAATAAAAAAAATATATGATGTCAGTGATACTTTTAATAACTTACAGGAGCTGTCTCCTTTCCCCCCTTTTAAACAAACAGTCCAGGTATTTTGCAAGCACTTAAAATGCTGGATAACTTTTCAGTTAAGCTATCAAAGCCTTTTAGTTTACCTTTGTAACCAGGTGGGGGCGGGGGAAGGCTAAGAGGAGCATTATTTGCTTTAGCATTCATAGTAATAATCCCTGTAATGATTCCTTAAATTTATATGTGGTTTACATATTTTTTAGTCTCAACTCTTTCTATGAGTCACTCTATTAGAGATGAATAATAGGTGAATGAATTTTTTAGGGTACAGCACTTAATGCTGGAGAAAATTAAACTCAGCCTTCCAATACAGAATCCACTGTGTTTTATGCTGTAACTTTTTAGTTATATTTTATCAATACATATAAATTTCTATTTAGAGTGTTATATTTTAGTAGAAAGACATTCTTAACTACAGATAAGTCACTTTATTTTTTTAAAAAACATTTACAGTAAGGGAGCTGGGGAGACAGCACAGTGGGTAGGGTGTTTGCCTTGCTTGCACGCGGCCAGCCCGGGTTCGATTCCCAGCATCCCATGTGGTCCCCTGAGCATGGCCAGGAATAACTCCTGAGTGTAGAACTAGGAGTAACCAACTCCTGTGCATCACTAGGTGTGACCCAAAAAAGAAAAAAAGAAAAAAAAACATTTATAGTAAGACTCCCCTAATTGATCTGGTCATCTTTAAAAAAATATTTGGTTAGAATGTAGACGTAATGACATAATGGTATAAAACTTGATATCAGTTGGATCCCTCATCCCCTATCAAGTATTATATTGTAAAATCCCTCACTGATTGCCCAAGATAAAATTTCTCTTTTTCATTGCTTTTGTACCTCTATTATTGTCCATTGATTGTTTGGGTTCTTTTATGTTTGTTTTTATATATGCTGTCTTTTTTTCTACTGAAAGCATTCCAAAAGCCAAGAATTAGATGCTACTTCATTTTGTATCTCTTGTGTTGATGTTCACGTCGCTAAAGTAATTCTGCCGAATAGAAAATAACTAAAACCGCTGAAATATTTGACTTCCATGGGCTCTTTGGAACCTGTTGTAGGGAATATAAATGTGCAGGAAATGAAAATGTCTTTTCTACGAATTTTTCATTGTTCTCAAAGGCAATTTTTCTTCTTTCACAGGAAAACTACATCTCAGACCCAACTATCTTGTGGAGGGCTTATCCTCATAACCTGATGACGTAAGTCACTTTTTTAGAAGGCTTTTCTTAGTTGAGAACTATAGTTTTGTCATTTGTAAGCAGAATTGACTTAGAATAATCTTTGTCTTTGTTTTGGGCTCGCACCCAGCAATGCTCAGAGGTCAGGGCTGGTTCTGCAATCAAGTGTCACTCCTAGCGGGCTTGGGGGACAGTCTGGGGTGCTGGGGATGAATCCCGATAGAGGTGTGCAAGGCAAGCACTCTACCCACTGAACTGTTTCTCTGGCCCTGGTTCTTAATATTTATTAAGAATATTAATAGGACTTTAGTTTCTTCATAGAACAGTATATGTCTCTGACAACCCCACTACCATAAGAAAAGGAATTCCTCTGTGCTTAATTATTTTTTGAAATTTATTTCTGATTTATTTCTAATCTTTTCCATACATTTGCCCATTTTTCATTGTCCTAACCTCTTTTTTTCTCCTCTCCTTCCATTTCTTTTTCTTTCCCCCCCCCCCCCCTTCATTGTGCTAGAGATCAAACACAGGCCCTTACACACAAAAGACAAGTGCTCTGTAACGGTGACCTACCACATCCTTGGCCCCTTGATTCCTTCCAGTACTTAACCTTTTTAAAGAAAAGTATGAGATAGGGATTGTTTATTTTCTCTCTCTAGTTTCTACTCACTGCTGTAATTAGTTCAGTGGTTGGCAATGGCATTCATGGACATTGTACCCAGGCCAACCAAGACTGTTTGCCCTGAGAGCAGGAGGAGGTATTTTATGCATTTCATTGGCCCCCAGGCTGCATCTGTTTGTTATCTAGACAGTCATTCAAAAAATGCATTATTTTGTGGAAAATGTACAAAAGACATGAAAGGAATGACAAAATAACCATGTGTATTTGGGTTTTTAAGTATAGCTGTAATACGTACACTACAGAATTATTCTGATTTTTTTTAATTGTATTGGTTCATTAAACCTAAACAGTGGAATACATACACGTTTATGTGGGGTTGTATCTTCCTTCTCAGATAATTTAAGATTGCCTTTCTAGTTTAGACTTCTGGGAAGGATAAGGAAGAAGAATAAAGAAAAACAGATGGAGTGATATAATGTAAAGAAGACACTTTTGATTCTGTACTGAGTTATATATTGCAAACCCTTGCATACATTATTCCTCTGTAATCCTAGTTGCCTTCGTTGGGGCTTTCTCAGTGTTCCAATGAGGTAGAGTTTTTATACCTGAAGTTGAGATCCTCCCAACTTTCGATACTGTCGATCTCCACTTTTATGTTTTCTTTTTGCTTTTCCCTTTTCCTTTTGGTGAAATCTTCTATACCTGTGGTTTTGTTTTCGCAGAGTAATGTTCCCCTTTATGTTTTCAGTAACTAACATGACATACTAATCAGTATTAATTAACTAATAGACAAGGAGCTCAGGTTCCTACCAGTCTTTTATCTTAATGGGGCTCTGCAGATAATGCTAGGCTTTTTGTAAACAGGATTCTGCAGATAATGCTAGGCTTCTGTGGTTTAATATGGTGGAATGGACTGATGGTGAGATTTGCAAAGGGAGGCAAGGAAGGTGGCAGTTGGAGAGTTATTACATGACCATTGTAAGAGGACCTGACAAAGTAACACAAAATACTATAACCTGATTTCCAGTGATTTTTTTTTATTTCTTTGCTTTAAAAATGGCATGAATAACAAGGTGATTTTTGCTTTCTTGTGCAGATTTCAAATGAAGCTTTTCTATATATCACAGCTGGCTTATTGGTTTCATGCTTTTCCTGAGCTGTACTTCCAGAAAACCAAAAAAGTAAGAAGTTGTTTCTAACATGAAACATTTCTCCATGTCTTTAACCTTTCTTTCTCCTTCTCATGTTCTTTCCCAATTATTCTCCCACCTCCTCACTTTTCACACCAACTCTCTTACTTATTTTTGAAAAGGAGCTACTTAGTCACGATTTTGACTAGCCAACGATCTTTACACTTGACATACTAATTTTGTATTTTTCAGTTATATCAGTGCTAACTTAAAATTTGAGCAAAATTTTAGTCAGTAATGGTTTTATATTGACTTTCTTAGCAGATTCACTTAATCGAGATTAAAAGAATTTAGTAAGATTATTTATATAAACCCTAAGAAAGAATTCAGTATTGGAAAAAGTAAGCAGTTTATATTTCTCAATGAAATAAGTAGAGAGTTCCTTTTTAACCCTTGAAAAAATGTTTGTCTATGTGAACAAATAAATGTACCACTGGACCACTGCATAAGCTCCTTCAGAGTTTCAGCCTAAGTACTTCTGAAATTAAAGGTCCACGAGATTACAAGCCAGTTCTTCCTTTATTTAACTCTTCTCTAAAATCTATACTGGCTACCTTAGTTCTGTAGGTCAAATAAAACTGCCCACCTCCATTCTTAGTAAAGGTAAAGGTAAAGGCCCTCCCATTGTTCATCGATTTGCTCAAACGGGCCCAGTAACGTCTCCTTTGGAGATTTTGTTGTTACTGTGTTTGGCACATCGAATACATCACGGGTGGCTTGCCAGGCTCTGCCGTGCAGGCAAGATACCATTCTTAGTGTTTCTCCCATTTTTTTTTTCCTGATTCCTCTTTCTTCTGCTCTTTCCTAATCTTCCACTTACAATAATATAATTTTATAATTTTACAATCCCTGCTCATCGGTTTATTTTCCTGGTATACCTTTACTTTCCTTCTCAAAAACTCAACTTACATATTTATTGCAAATTGTTCATTAATGATTATATTTGCCGTTTATTTGTGTTTCTGTGGTGTGTGTCTGTGTGTGTGTGTGTGTGAGAGAGAGGGAGGGAGAGAGGGAGAGAGGAAGGGAGGGAAGGAGAGAGAAAAGATGGTTTGTACTACAGTTAAATAGCAACATTAACTTAACATCCATGTATTGGAGCTTGAAAGTTCTGATGTTGATATCTCTTATAAAGTAGATTGTTTTCTAATTGCATTGTTTGAGTCTGAGTATAAAAATTCATTAAACCCTTAGAACTGTTTTAAAATTCAGACTCCCAATTTCAGTAGCCTTTCCTTGTTTGTTATTACATTTGTGTTCACATCAGGAATTGCACTGTTTAAAACAATTGTCAGTAGCCACATTTAAAGTAACATTGGAGAAAAACAAAACATACTTTCACAGTTAACTATATTTCATTTATTCCTTTGTAACATGTAGCTAGTTGTCTGTTTCTTGGATACCCAGGATACAGAACTTTTCTATCATTCCAGAAAGCTCTCTTGGATAGTACTTGCTAAGAGTATCGTAGTTTCTTGATGTCTTAGTACCATGACTCAAACATTTAAGCTTTCTTCAGGTATCTGAGTATATAATACCTTTGATTTTCATTAGTAATGTATGTGTCTGTATCTTGTTTGCTGGCCATATAAATAAAAGGGGGCATTTTAAAGCAGTTGTTCTTTTGAGTTCTCAGAGCTTTTATCTATTACTGCCAGATGGCACTTCTCCAGAAATGCAGTTTAATTTTTATGGAGTAATTTGCATAGCTTAAAACTTAACTGAAACTATTTTTAACACCTACATATGACAGTTGAAAGTAGCTGTTTCAAGTAATTAGCATAATGTGAAAGTAACAGCTGCATATATGTTAAACGGTTTCTTAAAATTTACTCTATAAAAACTATTTTTAGAAGAACACTTTTACATGAAAAAACTAGTACAGTGATTGTTTTGAACCAGTCCTGCAGACAAAACCAGAAAGAAAGGAGCACTGTTGGTAGCAGTTCAGTAGGCTTGATTGCTGGTCACTGGTTTCTTTCAAGGACAGTACACTACACATATATGCTTCAGTACAAACAGTCCTTCATTTCACCTGAGATTGAATGTAATTTCTCTTTTCTTTGCGGGGGACGCTGTTTGGACTACATGTAATGGTGCTCAGGGGTTACTCCCAGCTCTGTGCTGGCCATCACTTCCGTAGTGCTCAGGGGCCCATGTGGTGCACAGGGTTAAAGCCAGGCCTCCTGCGAGCACATTTGAGTTATGTCTGTTAAGTTGAAATCTTTTTTTTAGGGTGGGCGGGGGTTCACACCCAGCGATGGTCAGGGATTACTCCTGGCTCTGCACACAGGAATTACTCCTGGAGATGCTCGGGGGACCATCTGGGGTGCTTATCGAACCCGGGTTTGCTGCATGCAAGGCAAACGCCCTACCTGCTGTGCTATCACTCCAGTCCCTTAAGTTGAAATCTCTTAACCTTCATATTTCATAAGGTTTTAGAGGAGTGTGAGTGAAATAGTCAAATATTATATTCCTAGTAGTTTAGTCTTGTAAACATTTTGCATAACATAAAGTATATTGAATTAGAAATATTTTTGCCCACCGTAGTTCATGAAAGCTTCCTTCACGTTTTAATATGTAACTTTGTTTTATCTATAAACCACATTGAGTTTTTTTTCAGCTATATATCTTATCTAGACATTGTGTTGCTAATCAGAATTTAAGTGCACAGTATAGATATTGGTATTAAGATAGTACTGTTATAAACATAGCAATCATAATGTTAAGGGATTTTATAGTTAATATTATATGTTATAATATTTATTACCAAAAGAGCTATAGAACATCGCACTGAAAGGAATTTTGAGTTCATTTGATTCAAGCAAACCCAAGTATTATTCACATTTTAAATGATGTAGTAGTTCAGATCAAGAAAATTTAAATGACTTGCTCAATTGAGGTAGATAATTGAGGTGAGTTGGACAGCTTGTAGGGGCAGAATAACCTCCAAGTTTTCAACTTATATAATAATACATCTTTTACTGTACCACAATGCTGAGATAGAAATGTTTCAGCATGTTTAATTCATGATGCAATTTTCTGTTTATAGGAAGATATTCCTCGCCAGCTTGTCTACATTGGTCTTTACCTCTTCCATATTGCTGGAGCTTATCTTTTGAAGTGAGTTGGGTTTTTTGTTATATGAATGGGATAGATACTACACAATTATAAGATAATGATCATTAAACTTGACTTTTTAAATTTTGTTCTTTTAACAGCTTGAATCATCTTGGACTTGTTCTTCTGGTGCTGCATTATTTTGTTGAATTTCTTTTCCACATTTCCCGCCTGTTTTATTTTAGTGATGAAAAATATCAGAAAGGGTAAGATGTTCAGCCATTCTGTTTTTTTTGTGTGTAATTAAAATTAGGACTGTGTTATTAAGGACCCTACAGCTGCCGCTGCCCATGCTGTGGATAATTAAAAAACTTTCTGAGTGGTTTTAAAGAAATGAAACTAGCAGTTCAGTGTAGGATTTTATTCTCTACAATGGTATATTTCTTAAACAGATACCGTATTGGTAGAAATTTTCGGTGCGGTGGTGGTGGTTGCTGTTTTGTGACCAGGGCATGCACAGCACGTCCCCTCGCACTGAGTCACATCCTTCACCTGATTTAATATTGAAGGTCTTTTGGCTTTGCTTTTCTGTCATAACTTCTATTCTATCTGCTATAATTTTTTTTTTTTTTGGAAGGGAAAATAGAGACGTAAGCTTTCTTCTTTGGGTTTGGGGTTTTGTTTTTTATTTTTTGTTTTTGCCTTTTGTGCCACACCCAGTAATGCTCAAGGGTTACTCCTGGCTCTGCACTCAGGAATTACTCCTGGTAATGCTGGGTGGACCATATGGGATGCCAGGGATCGAGGCTGGGTCAGCCATGTGCAAGGCAAATGCCCTATCCACTGTACTACTGCTCCGGCCCCAAAAAGTAAGCTTTTTGAGAATAAAATGAAATTATAGATTATATAGCTTTGAAGATATTACTGAGTATTTTGATGCAAATGTTGAATTAGACTTAAAACAGAATTGGAGTGGTATGACTTCCTTTCAGGAGTATAAAACTTATACAGGACTCTTAAGTGGAAATTTGGTGTCCTTTGTAAAACACAATTTTTGTTTTGTCCACCATTTTTCAAAATCGTTTTGTTTACCAATAATTATGGGGGGGCGGAGAGAGAGAGAGAGAGAGAGAGAGAGAGAGAGAGAGAGAGAGAGAGAGAACGGACGGACCTGCGCACCTGCAAAGGAGGGATCAGATTAAAAATTAAACACATCACTTTATAGCAGCTTTCTCAGCCGAGGACTGGGGATCTCCAAGATATTCCGGGGAGGTAGGGCACAGGTTAAAAAAAAAGTCACAAAAAGGGGTACCATGGAACAAGACTAGGGGTTCAAATCAGAGCTGTGCAGGGCCACAAGGAGGGATCAAGGTGGGTGAAAGATTGGGCAGCACTGCTTTATAGGACTCTTAAAAACTATGCTATATTATTGATCTTCAAGAATGTGATTATATATATATATGTATATATATATATATATTTCATTTCCCAAACATTTCAAGGGAAATTCTGATTTTACTAGAATTTTTTCTTTGCAAGCACTATTATGAATTTGACTTACACTATTTCTCTTACAGGTTTTCTTTGTGGGCAGTTCTTTTTGTTTTGGGAAGACTTCTGACTTTAATTCTTTCAGTTCTCACTGTTGGCTTTGGCCTTGCAAGAGCTGAGAATCAGAAGCTGGATTTTAGTACTGGAAACTTCAACGTGTTAGCTGTTAGGTACAGTTGATTTAACTTTTTTCTTCATGATTTAACATTGCACTGTTCCTTTGTATGTAGTAAGTGTTTCATTGTGACATTGTTCTGATATACTTTTTTAATTATTAATATTCCCAGAATTGCTGTTCTGGCATCCATTTGCATTACCCAAGCATTCATGATGTGGAAGTTCATTAATTTTCAGCTTCGGAGGTGGAGGGAACATTCTGCTTCTCAGGCACCACCTGTGAAGAAGAAGCCAACAATGGCTAAAGGCAGATCTTCTAGGAAAGGAACAGGTGCGTATACACTAAGTACTTTTTGTTGGCGTTTGGGGGGACCACACCCACAGTGGTGCTCAGGCATTACCCCTTGCTCTGCACACAGGGATTACTGGCAGTGCTCAGGGGGCCATTTAGTGCTCAGGATTGAATCCAAATCTGCAGCGTGCAAGGCAAATTTCCTACCTGCTGTATTTATTGCTACTGCCCCTTAAAACAAAAATTTTATCTAATCACTGTGAATTACAAAGTTATTTATGATTCTTTTTGGGGTGCACGGTGTTCCAATAACAATTCCTTCACCAGTGTCCACTTCCTCCACCAATTACCCAGTTTTCCTCCTTTTTCTGTTTTACTTCCCCACCCCACTTTTTAGGCACTGCGAGTTTAAAATACTGTTACTGATAGCTATCGTGCTTGTCACTGTACCTCCTTTCAGCACCTAGTCGTGGTCCGGAGTGACCACTTCTGTGATTATTATAGTAGCCCCTTCCCTTGCCTGTCCCACCTCCCTCCTGAGTGGCAAGATCCTACTAAGCGCCCGTTCTCCTGCACTTTGTTTCTGTTGTCCTTGAGCATTGGTTATTCCCCTATTGTATTTCTTTATATCCTGCATATGAGATCCATCCATGTATCAGCAAACTACATTTTTTTCTTTAATTTTTTTTCCTTTATGGGTCACACCTGGTGATGCTCAGGGGTTACTCCTCGCTCTGCACTCAGAAATCACTCCTGGCAGTGCTCAGGAGATCATATGGGATACTGGGAATCGAACCCCAGTTGGCCACGTGCAAGGCAAACAACCTACCTGCTGAACTATCACTCCAGTCCCAAACATTTTTACTTATGGCCAAATAGTATTTCATTCTGTATATGTATCATAGCTTCTTTATTCAGTCATCTATTCTTGGGCACTTGGGTTGTTTCCAGATTTTGGCTATTGTGAATAGTGCAGTAATGAACATAGGAGTGCAGATGTCTTTTCTTGATTGTGGTTTTGGAACCTGGGGGTATATTCCCAGGAATGGAATTGCTGAGTTATCTGAAAGTTCAGTTCCTAAGGGGAATGTCCATATTGTCTTCCAAAAAGACAAATAAGATTTAAAATCTTAAAAAGAAAATTTTATTCTACTTTTAGCAGAATTAGGCTAAATTTAGCAGAATTACTCCACCTTCCAAATTCATTTGGCAAATTCTCTAGGGTTAATTATTCCTCTCGAAAACCCTAGTTTGGACTGGGGAATATTCTCCACTGTGATAATTTGTATTTTCAAGCATTTTATTCAGTCTTTACCAACAAAACTTTATTACAAGCCTACTTTGTCTTTGAGTCCCTTTGAGACTCTGTCTAATGAGTCCCAAGTGGAATAGTTTTTTTTTTTTTGATAGTCTGCTTTTTCAAACACTTATTAAATTTTTTACATACAAATCTTTACGAGCTTATTTTGTCTTCCCATTAGTCCCAAATGGAATTGTTCTTGTTCTTTTTTTTTTAATCTGATTGCTTGATCATTTAAGCCTATATCTAGTTTTTTTTTTCTTCTTTGGTTTTTAATTGAAAATGCATTGACACTGCAATAATATTTTCAGCTTCAATTTAATGTTGTACTTGGAACTTAACAAGGGTTTCCATTCTTAAACATATTTCAGTTCTGTTTTGCTCTTTGATATATGACTATGCTCTCCTGTCCTGTCCTTTAAAATAATCACTTTATTGCGATATAATTCGATATAATTTACATTTCCATGATGTAAAGAGTGTGCATTATGATCTGTGAATTATGTTTGAGGTGTATGTTTCTGGGACTAGGTCTCTGGCTGTGCTGGTAGAGCACATGTCTAGCATGTGTGGAGCCCTGGGCTTGACCCTCGGCATGCCAGACGTGGCCCGAGCAGTACTAGAAATGGTCCCTGTGAAAAATAATAAAGTGTATGTTTCAGTGCTGGTTAAGCATATTCACAGAGTTGGTGAACCACTAATTCCAAAACATTCTCACACGCTCCTCCCCCATGCCTATTAAGAAATCATTTCCCATCTCATCTTTCTAGTGCTCCTGGCAGCTGCTTGCCTATTTTCTCTTTTAGTTTAGTAATCAGAAAATACGTCCTCTTTCTCAACCAGTTAATGTTCTTGGAGAGTGGGCTTAGGGGTTACAACCTGTCGGTGCTCAGGGGCTGCCTGGCACATGCTGCCCACATGTGGCTCGGGGATCACTTCCAGCAGTGCTCAGGGAATATGTGGTTTGGGGATGGCAGATTTTGGCATTTTGTACTATGACTAATGCTGGTATAAACATTCCTCAGTTTGGACACCTGCTTTTGTTGTTGTATTTGTTATCACCTACATGGTACCTAGAAATAGAATTGCTACATAGTAACTGTATTTAACTTTTGGGAGGAACTGTAAAATTTTTTCGTAAGTGTCTTTACTGTATTACATTAATTTTTTTTGTTAGTCATTAGTCCCTACCACCATTTTTTTAAAGAAGACTAATCTCTTTATGAAATTGTCTTGTACTCTTCTTTGGTTTTTTTGTTTGTTTGTTTGCTTGCTTTTTGGGTCACACCCGGCGATGCACAGGGGTTACTCCTGGTTCATGCACTCAGGAATTACTCCTGGCGGTGCTCGGGGGACCATATGGGATGCTGGGAATCGAACCCAGGTCAGTGGCGTGCAAGGCAAACGCCCAACCCGCTGTGCTATCGTTCCAGCCCCTGTCTTGTACTCTTCTTAAAAACTTAAGAGTATTAACTTAAACTCTCAGAGCTCTTCCGTGAGTGATCTTTTATCTTTGTAAGTACCACATTGTCCTAGAGTAAAACACATTTGGCGATCAGAAAATGTGGTTTCCACCTTTCTAGGTTTTTTTTTCCCCCCATATTTGGTTATTCTGAATCCCTTACATTTTCATATGAATGTTAAGATCATCAGCTTGTCTGTTTCTAAAAAACCAGTTGAGCTTTTGATATGAATCTGTAGGTTGCCTTGGGAAATGTGAACCTAACTGTTCTTTCATTTGGAGATCCTAATCTCTTTCCATGACTTTTTATAGTGACCAGAATATAAGCCCTGTACTTATGCTAAATTTATTCCTAAGTAGTATTTTTATTCTTTCTGATACTGTTGTAAATGGTGGTTAGAGAATTGATTTTTACTTGTTGATCTTTGTATCTTGTAATATTGCTGATTTTGCTGCTTTTAATGTTACCTTATTTAATAGTGGTTTGCGTTGAATTACTTTGCATTTTCAGTAGGATCCTGACAGGATCGTTTCATCTGCAAGTGAGATAGCTTTAACTTATTTCTGTCTAAGCAACATTTAAAAAAAAAAAAAGTTTATGCTCAGCATAAATATAGGTAGACCATTCTATCTTAGATGTTGATCTATTTTTAGTGTGTCCTTAGCATATCAACCCTATATAAGGGCTTTCTTTCCTGAATTCAAGTTTTTATCCCCCAGTTATTGTGAAACTTCATTATTTTTAGCTTTGTAGTTCCTTAGGAGTTGCTTTCTGCTGATTTCTTTGGATTCTGCTCTGTTTGTTTAGTAGTTGGTACACAGAGAAAGAAAAACACGTCTAGTTGCTTTGGTTATATTCCGTTGCCTTTGAACAGCCATTTTTGTGCTACTGCAGATGATTTTGGAGGGACGGTTAGTGTGTTGTAAAGAAACACTCCTCCCAGGGGCCAGGGAGACGGCTCAAAGGGCCGGACCACACGCTTCGCGTTTGGGAGCCATCAGTCCAATCTCCACCACTGCATAGTCTGCCAAGTATCCCCAGTGTGTGACTGCCCCCTCTCCGCAAAGAAATTAAAGAAAGGCAGAGTTCCTCAAAAACTTCCGTTTGGACTAGAGAGATATACAAAACGTAGGTGCTTGAATCCCCAGCACCAACTGTCTCCCCGAGGACCACCAGAGGGATGTGTCATGAGTACAGAGCTAGGAGTAGGAGTAGCCCTAGGTATGGCTCAAACAAAACACTCCCACCCCAATTTTTTTTTTTTTTTGCTTTTTTGGGTCACACCCGGCGATGCTCAGGTGTTACTCCTGGCTCTGCACTCAGGAGTTACTCCTGGCGGTGCTCAGGGGACCATATGGGATGCTGGGAATCGAACCTGGTTGGCCGTTGGCTGAGTGCAAGGCAAACGCCCTACCCGCTGTGCTATCGCTCCAGCCTCCCCACCCCAATTTTCTAATTAAAAATTTTTAAAACTTTGTGTGGTCTTTTTTTTTTCCCTGCTTGCAGCAGTATTTTCATATAAAACATGTTTTTATTGAACTGTACTTGAAATGCAGTAATTATTTGTCTTAGTTGTTTTAGGATACTGTATTTATGTGTCACCCGAGCCTTTTTTTTTAATGGTTGATTAAGCAATTTTGAAGAGAAAACATTGGTAAGTAAGTTAACTAAGATCATAAGTTCAGGTGTAAAATTTCTTTTGGGGATTTTAATTTATACAGGAAAGTAACACTGATTTCTTCTCTTTTTTCAGAAAATGGTGTTAATGGAACAGTAACTTCAAGTGGAGCAGACTCTCCCCGTAATAGAAAAGAAAAATCTTCATAAAGGATTATAATCCAATTGATTCATGTCCCCAAAGAAATATGCTTTTTACTATATCTTTCAGCACTAGATTTTTTTTTTCTGTTCTTGAAAATAGTTTGTGCTCTTTGATTCTTGCTATTGTTCTGTTTCCTGCATTTTTTAAAAGGGCATTGAGGAGAGGGTAATTACTATGAGTGAAAAAAATATTTTAGCTTAGTCTAAGCTACCTGCCTTCAAAATAGTTTAGGGACCATAATCCCACCACCACCCCACCACCCATTTTGTTTTATATCTGAACATTTTCTAATGATTTGGAGAGATGACTATTTGCAACAATTCTACATAATTCTACAGTGATACAATTTCTTGTGCTCACCAGTTTTTTATATTAGCAAGATGGCCTATTCCAGCAAGGTCATATTTTTTTAAGTTATCTTTCAGGGTAAAATGGAAACACTCTAAAGTCAGAAGTCAAACTTTAATATGTTTTCAGTGTTCTCTAATTTTTAGGAGTTTTTGTAGCCTTTACACCTGGGGAAGAAAAGATTTGTAAATTCACCAAAATACTTGTATGCTTTATTTTATAGGTAATGGTTGTTAGTGTTACAATCCCCTTTTTAAAAAAAAAAGTACTATTGGTTACTATGTGGAGATTTATTGCCATATATATATTGAATCAAGATATATTAACATAAAAGTACTTGTGAAGTAAAAGCTTTCTTGTGTGTTTTCAACACTTGTAAACTGAAAGTCAGAAAATGAAATTTTTACTGTACAGCTGTACAGCAGAAAATCTGGCTGTAGCCCTTTTTGATATGTTTGTTAATACAATGATTCTTAATGGGGCTTGTCATAGTTCAATATGCACAGTATCTTAGATAAATATTGCTTAACCTGCAACCCCTTTTAAAAATAATGCATATTTGATTTATACTATAAAAAGAATGTCAGGTTATTTGGAAACATTTAGTGCACTAAACCTTTAAAGAAATTGAAGATTCAGGTGGATGAACACTCAACAAAAGATAGTGCTTTATGTTATAACTATAGCTTTCATCCCATCTTTGAGAAGCATTTATCTGTATAAAACATATTTTTGGATAAATATATATATATTTGTATCTACAGAAAGTCTCTAAAAAAATTTGAGTAAAATATTTGGTTCCCTTTTCTATAATTATTCTTTAAAATTCATAGAGCTCTATTTGAGTTTTTCTTGTCTTTACAGTACATGTATTGCTCTTTTTGGTATTCACATCTTGTTCCCCACTTCTCACTTTTGTCACCAGCTAATGTTTGTGCCATTTTTAGTATAAAAGTTGCAGACTCGTTAGGTCTGCAGTTAAATAAGTTGCCGTGCTGCTAGAAAGTTGTGCTTTTGTTTCCAGCTGTTTACCTACTTCCTGGAAAAAGTAAGAGCTCTCTGTAGCATCATGGAGTTTCAGTGGAACCGAATTTTTGCCACTAAAAACTGGCATTATATTGAACTATACATTGAGAAATCAATCAGAATAAAACTTTTTACTTTCACAAGCTGTATCCTGTATATTTCCTTCATTATTAGCATGTTTTTGTGCTAATTTTACTCAATAATCTTATTAACATACAGTATTTGAAGAGTACACCCTGGATGGACCTTTAAAACAGCCTTTCAAAAATACTGTTTTGGGACTGGAGAGATAGCACAGCGGGTAGGGCGTTTGCCTTGCATGCGGCCAACCCGGGTTCGATTCCCAGCATCCCATATGGTCCCCTGAGCACCACCAGGAGTAATCCTGAGCAGAGCCAGGAGTAACCCCTGTGCATCACCAGGTGTGACCCAAAAACCAAAAAAAAAAAAAAAAAAATACTGTTCTGCAAAAAAGTAAAAGATGTTTGAGGCCGGAGAGCTGGTACCGGGGCAGGACTATTGCAGCTGAGGGCCCGCTTTGGGTCGCAGCACCACATGCAGTCTCTGAGCACCACTAGGAATGACCCTTGAACACAAAGCCAGAACCCTAAGTACAGCTGGGCATGATCCAAAAACAAAACTATAAAATATTTAGGTTTCCATGTTACTAATCAGAGCTACTGGGAAATAATAGAAATCATATTTTTCCATTAGCCGCTAGATTATACTAGATTGGTCAGTCTTTCATACACAAATGTGTACCAAGAATGTGGCTAGGGGCTCTATGCTGTGATCTCCAACTCATTTATAGAAAACTTGAGGAACCATTGGAACATTCGTGTTCTATAGCATCATACACTATGGATGGGTTTTCCAAGGCACCTATATGCATGGCACATACAGGGGCCAGAACAGTAGTACAATGGATTGGGTGTTGGCCTTGCATGCAACTGACACGGGTTAGATCATATGGCTCCCCGAGCACCACTAGGAATAATTCCTGATTGCAGCGTCAGGAGTAATCCATGCACATCACCGGGTGTGACCTGAAATGCCAAAAAAACTGAAGGCACATACAATTATTCAAATGTAATTGTGCATTCCAAGCCCTGTGCCAGATCCTCTTCTCAAATGCTGAAGAAAGTTTTCTTTAACAAGTCTCCATGACCTATGTTGACTCACTGTTCCCTGGCTTCAGGTCCAACTGGAGCCTGAGGACAAGGACCAGGCCTTCTCTCTCAAATTTGCTGACTATGGACTAGTTGCTTTTTCAGTCCAGGCTTTATTTTAGTCTCTCTCCCACTACAGAGTTATCTTCTTGCCTGTATTTTAGAACATGGTTGTAAGTGGTTCAAATGCTGATGCTACTAAAACAAAGGTATAAATTGCGTTCTTAAAACTGAAGAGTCGTAGGCCAGATGGGTAGTACAATGGGTAGGGTGCTTGCTTCACACACAGCTGCCCCCGGTTCAATCTCTAGCATCCCATCCAGTCCTCCAGGCACCACCAGGATTAATTCCTGAATGCAGAGCCAGGTGTGGCACAGAATCAGAACACTAAATCCTGTACAGTTCTTAGGTTCATAACTACATTTGGAGCGACATTTACGTAGATGGGAAAGTGAGAGAAATTTTTGCTGCCCAATAGCCAGTACTCCGGTATTTGTTTTTCTCCATAGTGTTGCCACGTGTGTCTATTAGGAATTAGTTATACTATTTGTTTTTTTTTAAGAAGTAACAATAATGCTGTTCATCTGTTTTCATTCTTTTAAGTGATTCCAAAAATAACTGCTGAAAATTCTAGAGTAATGCTTAAAACAGATGTTTTGATTCAAAGGCAGCCCAACATATAGTAAGTAATATATCACTGTGTCATTGTCATCCCGTTGATTGTCAAATTACTCGAGCAGGCACCAGTAACGTCTCTTCTTCCCAGCCTGAGATTTTAGCAGCCTCTTTTCCCAACGATTGGAGGCTCTTTCAGGGTCAGGGGAATGAGACCTGTTGTCATTACTGTATTTGGCATATCGAATACGCCACAGGGAGCTTGCCAGGCTCTGCCCGTGCCAGTGGGATACTCTCAGCAGCTTGCTGGGCTCTCTGAGAGGCTTATATTTATGTATTTTTTTCTATGATTTGTGGCCTACTGTCTGAACCCCATCAGATATAGTGTAGTAATTGTGGAAAATGTGTAGCAAGTGTCTTATAATCTGTCGCACAGTCCAGAAAGCGGCCTGGAAGTAAGCAATATAAAGGAAAGGAATTAGCTAATAATTTCACTATGTTTCAGGTTTGGGGATGTGAAATTAGTGTTTCTAACTGTCAGGAAGAATTAAGACTTAGCAGACAGAGTCTGGTAGCTCTGGTAGATACCTCAGTAGAGCATGATAAAATGAGAAGAAAAACTCCTAATAATGCTTTGTTAAGCTGGTTCCAGGAAACTTTTAAAAGCTATTAACCATTTACAGAAGTCAGCATTTCCTGGCTCAACTCCATTTGAGGCAGAGAGCAGAGAAGCCAATATTTACAGACAAACCAGCCCTTCGTTTACCTAACTATAATTTGCTTTACAAAGAGCTACTCTGGGTAACCATGTGCCACATAATTGATAAACTTTATTCAGTACTACTCAGAAAAATTCTAAGCCATTATAGCTTAACAGTTGAAAAATGATTAATATATTTGCTTTAGGCTAAAAGAGTCCAGAAAACAAATATTTTTTTAAAAAAATACTTAGGTTCAGCACAGAGTCAAATACCTGGTTATTAATAATTTAACTTGAGCCTTAAGTTGGCCAAAGAAAATAATTTCTATTTTGAGGATCTAAACTCAGCAAATTCAAATGATAAATAACTGTTGGCTTGTTATCAGTCGCAGGTATTTAGTGGAAAGACGAGTGAACCAGATGTCAAGTTTGCTCACTCACTGATGAACTATGTATGATCTAAAATCAATACGTCAATTTTCTGAGATAAGTAACAACACCTGCCTCACAAAGTCATTCTGAGAAGTGAGATAGCACACAAACTGTGCAAAGCTCCATGCCTGGTGCCTGTTAATGTTTATTGTTACCTCATAATATGACATAATTGCACTAGCAATGACTAATAGTATGTAGTTTGAGCTCTTTATGACTTCCCTGTGAGATTCCATTGATACAACATTGCTGAGCACTCATGGCCTTCCAGCAACATTGCTCTTCTCAGCAGTCCCCAAACCTTATCAGCTGGAAAACCAATAAAGGTGAGTGAGGAGCTGGAGTGATAGTACAGTGGGTGTGGTACTTGCCTGGCATGTGGAAGACCCAGGTTCGATCCCTAGTGCCCCATTGGTCCCCTGAGACCAGCAGAAGTAATCCCTGAACATGGCTGTGTATGGCCCAAAAGCAAAAAAAAATAAACAGTAAAATTTTAAAGGAGTGAGATGTGCAAGCCTTGGTTGCCATTTAATTACTGGAAAACTTTGCAGATGTACTTAGCCAGCTCTTAAGTTCATAAACATCCACATTTTTGTTTTGATGTCACATCTCACTGTGCCTGAGTCTCCTGGCTCTGTGCTCAAGTGTCACTCCTGGTAGTATTAGGGGACCGACATATGTGGTGCTGGGGATTGAACCTAGGTTGACATATGCAAGTGCCTTACCCACTATACTATTGCTCCCGTCCAAACATCCAAGTTTATAGTGAATCATTTATACTTAATGACAATAATTAGAGTGTATAAGTTTTGTTTTGTTTCCAGTTTATGGGACATATTCAGCAGTGCTTAGGGATTACTCCTGACTCTGCACTCAGGGATCACTCCTGGCAGGACTTGGGGGACCATATGAGGTGCAAATAATCGAGTCAAGGTCGACTACCAGCAGGACATACACCCTACCCACCGTACTATCTCTTCAACCCTATATGGTTAACATTTGTATTACTGTACTTTCCCCCTTCCTGTGTTGTTGCTGTTGTTTCTGGGCAAACTGGACATTCGGTTGCAGTGCTCCCCGGAGTTGCATGGAGCTCCCCAAGCATTTCAACTTTGCTGTGGTGTCGGAGATCACAAAGAACAAACAGCACTGTGGGGATCAGTCACACTCTTGCACGTGGAGATTAAACACTGCCCTCACTGGCCTTGTGGTTGCAAAGCAGATTGGTGTCTTACCAACTGAGCTTTAAGAATGATTTTCTTTTTCAACCAGATACAAATGATTCATAAAACCCTATTTTAATTTAAATGGTGTCTACAGCTAAAGAAATTTTACATGCCTGAAGTTGTTTTATCTTTTAAGTGTGTGGGGGCCAAACTCCCTTGTGCTGAAGAGCACCATGCAGTGCTGGGAATCAAACCCAGGGCCTCACACATCCAAAACATGTGCCTGGCCATATCAGCCTCACCCTACTGTACCTTCCCAGAGAATAATCACACTCCACCAGGTGTGATGAGAACACCTGGGACGAGAAAAGGACGTGCTTACAAGACTGTCAAGAAATTTAAAAGTGAGCTCAAAATCCTTCAAGCAGACTGGCTAAAAATCCCGGGTATGACAGTATGGATCAAACATGCATGCCACAGACTAAAATCTAAAGACCATAGTTTTGACCTGCTAATTGGCTTTTGATATGAACTCCTTCTTTTCCCATCAAATACAACAAACAATAAATTTTTCTGTGAGAACAGAGATTTTCCAAAAATGCAATTTTTCAGTCAACAGAACATGTTCTTCTGATCAGTAGATATTTATTTATTTCACTTACAAAACCATAAATAAAGGGGACAGAGAGATAGCATAGGGGTTAAGGTTAATTGTTTTGCATAAAGCTGACCCCCTGAGCACCTCCAGTAGTAATCCCTGAGCACTGCTGTGTGTGGTCCCAGAACCAACACACCCGCACCATAAGGGAGGTAGCCCAAGTAGGTGCAAAAGTGGTCGAGTTCATCCCTACCATGCTTAAGGCCTGGTTTGGGATCCCTGAGCACTGCTCCTTATGGTGAACCTTTGGAACTGTCCCCGACCTGAGCAGAAATGACCTGGAGTCATACGGCACCATCAAGCATGGCCCCTATTTAAAGAAGGAAAAAAAGATTGAGATCTGTTTTTCAATCTGTGCTCTGTGGAGAGTGTTGGTCTTTGGAGTCATTCTGGGGATGTGCCCCAAATT